TCACTACACAGGACAGGATCATGACGGACAAGTTACGCTGTCCAGCGGTGTTCAGCAGTGGACTGTGCCGTACACTGGTGACTACAGAATAAAAGCAATAGCAGCCGCAGGAGGGTACGATGGACGCCCTAACAGTATTCAGTACCGAGGAAGAGGAGCAAGAATGATTGCAACGTTCCGCTTAAACAAGAGTGAAGTCATTCAGATACTTGTTGGTCAAGAAGGAGGAATAAACACAGTCGAGAGGTCTTCTGGAGGTGGTGGAGGAACGTTTGTAGTGAGAGGAGCCAACAAACCTTTGATAATAGCTGGAGGCGGAGGAGGGGTAAATGCAGCTGAGTCAAGACATAAAGGATGTGACGCCAGCATAGACACAACAGGGAATCGTGGATACAAATCATGGTCAGGGGGGAGCAATGGACATGGTGCACAGACTGCCGATGATCATTCAGGTAAGAGTATATTGTAATGTTTTCTTACGTCTTAGCTGTTCATTTAATGTTATTTCAGTACCATATGATAACGAGCGTTCTCATTGGCTAACAATTTATGAAAAAGAAATGGATGGTTGATAGAGATGGTTCAGACTGATGTCATTGTTGGCAAAAATTTCCTATCGAGTTGACCCGCGAGGTTTCAAAACTTTCAAGATTGTTTTCCCGTTAACCTTTTGGAGCTCTATTTGAAAAGAAAATGTGCTAGAATGATAATCGTTTTGAAAAACAATTAGGGTGTAGCTATTCAAAGCGACGTAATTAGTCTTGGATTCGACGATACTTTATTTGCCATACGCGATGCGTGAATGTGGCTGAAAACAAAACTGAGTTTTTTAACTTCAACTGAGGCTTCGCAACGTTGGGGTAAATATTATTTTGAAGAGCTGATGCATGTACGTCGCAAAAGTGTTGTTCAATAGATGATTTTCCTTTGAAATCGTACAATTTTTAAGATTTTCAACACAAAGCGACACAATTCTGATGGTCAATTCCAATAACCAACAATTCAAGGAGGTGAATCTTTCAAACGGGACTCTTAAATTTAGGACATTTCCCCTTAGATTTTGATTGCATTAATAACTCCGAACGCTATAGTTGCCCCGGCTGCGCTTCGAGCAACTCCTCTTTTGTGCTCTCCAAACTTCCCTCGTGCACCATAACTCGAAATATGCTTTGGGGGCACACAAATCTTAAATAAATCTCGAATAAAATATAAATATCCCGAGATAAATAAAAACATCTGCGTTGCGCTGAAATATGCATATGTCAAAAATAGAACTTGCTGTGTGTTTATAAAAGATCATATCTAAAAATTAAACTACGTAGTTTTAATCTACATTTATCAACAGCATCAAAGTTACTTCTCACATAAACAGCAAATCCGCCTTTTTTTCCTCAAAACCACTCTTGACCAGTTCCTGTCCCGTCTGAATATGTTGTAGATAGGTATGTTGAAAATAGATTCAGGTTTATCTAGCTCAAGGTGTGTTTCGAAGGCGACGCAAAAATATTGCGGTAAAAATATTGCGTTTTGGAAGGTTGACCGTTAATATTTTTGCCATTTGACGGTTGACGGTTAACCCCATTGAGACCCTGGTATATGTCATATTTACTGCAAGGACGAGTCAAAGCAGCGGTGTTGGCGGGAGAACGGAAAATATTTGGCGCGCTCCGTGGCGGAATGTCGCGCGGTCCGTGCTTTGATACGTGACCGTAAACTAAATACCTTCCCGTCCAGCCTGACCAAACATGATTAAGAAGCATCTTATCTTGTGACCACCTCGAAAATTTGGTTTCGCCCTAAATAGGAGGCGATGTACGAGCACACGCTGAACAATCACGATAAAGATCCTACAGGAAAAACTTTTTCCTTTGGTTTTTGGTGTCAGAACAAGAAACCAACAGTTCATTAACCCGTCCGTCCTTACACGCGTCAGCTTTCACTATGATTTCTAATGGGGGTAAGCGGGCGGGGCCGTACGGGTCAACTAATTATCAGCTGTAAACCTGCAATCTAGGTAACGTGTTAATCAAATCATAGTATCTTGGACAGGAAAAGTGAGACAAAACAGTTTATACAACTAGCTATTACAAAAGCTATATACAAATATCAAACCTCACGGATAGCGGCTCAATTAAAATGCATTACATAAGGTTTGGCCGAGCTGATATGGGTTTATTGGAGCGTTTTAAAATACTGGTAAAAATTCCAAAAATCGAATGGGTTAGCATCCCATCTAAACATAGTTTCGCTTATGTTTACGAAAATATTAAAATATATTCATTGTATTTCAGGTGGTGGGGGTGGTGGGTTTTACTCCAGTGGAAGAAGTGGAAAGAATTTTAATGGAACCAAAGGATTTGGTGGAGAAGGTGGTAAGGGATTTATTCAGGGAGGGGTGGGTGGAAGAGCCAGGTATAACGATGTAGATGGTGGGTTTGGTGGAGGTGGTGGAGGTGATGGAGTGAGAGGAGGAGGAGGAGGACGAGGATACTCTGGGGGAAGCAGTGGAAATAGTCGTGATGACACCTGTGGGGGTGGGGGAGGCTCTTACAACTATCGAGTGGGTTAGCATGCCATTTAAACATAGTTTCGCTTCTGTTTACGAAAATCTTAAAATATATTCATTGTATTTCAGGTGGTGGTGGTGGCGGGTTTTACTCCAGTGGAAGAAGTGGAAAGAATTTTAATGGAACCATAGGATATGGTGGGGAAGGTGGTAAGGGATTTATTCAGGGAGGGGTGGGTGGAAGAGCCATTCTTCATGATATCGATGGTGGGTTTGGTGGAGGTGGTGGAGGTTTTGGATGGGGAGGAGGAGGAGGAGGAGGAGGAGGAGGAGGATACTCTGGGGGAAGCAGTGGAAATAAGGGTGATGACACCTGTGGGGGTGGGGGAGGCTCTTACAACATTGGAAACAACCAGGACAATGAATGTTGTTACAACAACGTTGGTCATGGTCAAGTGACTATTACGTTCCTAGATTAAAAAAAGTTTATCTAATGTGATAATGGCACTTAGTATTGAGCTATCATTGATTGACATTCTAGTTGACTGATAGCACTCAGTTAAAGTGCCAAATAAAATGTAGCTATTTAATTTTTTAACCTTCTGTGAAACACGAAAGTCATCATCTTATTTTTCGTTTGGTTTACTTTTAGCCATATTTTCTTTCGGTCATCTATTACATTAACTGAGCTCGGTGCTTTTTTATAGTTGAAAAGTAAAATAGGGTTCTAAAACTTGAGATAATGAAGATAATCTTTTTTTTCAGAAATCGAGTCTCACTCGTTATACTTTTTCACCGGGGTCTTAAGAAAAGATCACATTGTCGCACAAACCAATCATCACACTATGCAACCTAAAACGATGAGAAGCAATTCCAGATGATTATATCTTCTGGAAGCTTAGGATTGAGTTTTGCCTGTTCTTTCATATCAATCCTTTGATACGAATCTTCAATGACCTTCTTTTACCGATGTTCAGTGAGATCAGTGAAGATTTTGGGATCAAACAGTAAAGACGCCTGTTACACTGTAACAGTCTGGAATCAGTAAGACTTTTCGAAAGTCGCACTAATCTTAACATCGAGAATTGTTGTCAAATGACGAAGACTAACTTGAAGGGATAATGATACGTACAATTTTTTCAAAATTGAGATCCCTCCCGGGCCCTTTGGGGAAGGAAATCATTTGCAAATTGGTATAACAACCGAAAAACCCAATGAGTTGCTACGGCAACTTTGTAAATTTACGTGTGAAATTGTATATTATGGACCAGAATTAAGTAGGAAGTATTCACATGTATTTCATTTAACGACAGTTGTTAAAAAGCATTGCTAGTTTTGTAAAAAACGGTCTTTTTAATGTATGAGGTATAAATATTGCTTAAGCATTTGAATAACGGAATGATATTCCCTATCTCTCTATAATAATAATTTATATCATACGCTTTGACAGTCTGTTCTGAATTTAACAAAAACATACTATGTATTTTGTAGAAGTACTTGTGATAAACAAAAAGGTGTCGTTGCCATCGGCGATTAAGATGTCTACTTGACCTATAATCTTTCCGTTGAATACTCAATTGTTTTAGTCACCTATCAAGCAATTGCAAAAAAGACCACGGGCTCTTACAGGGAGCTAGTAAATTGGAAAAGAAACTATTTCTCATAAACATCTTGAAATAGAAGATAAGTGTCAAAAGAGTTTTATGAAATGGCAGCAATGTCTGTGGTGCGACATTACGTACATTTACTATTAAATAAGAAATATATTGTTAAATAAACAAGCATGAGGTTATTACGTCATTTTACCAAGTAATCTTTTATTCAAAGCTGTTGCTAATAGTTGATACTGGAAACTTAGAGCAAAGCTATTAAAAGAACAAAAAACATACATTTGTGATGACAACATCGATACGGAAAATAATTTGTACATGTGCGAGACAGACACTTTACCCTGTGGAAAATTAAGCCTATGACAATATAACTAATATTTGTAACTATTATTTGTCATGTAATATTTGTAAATTTGATGTTATAACAAGGAAAAACAAGTATGAAAATCTGAGTATGAAGTTCCAGATAATGAAAGTGAGTTACCATGAAAGTGACCTTTCATAGTTTATGGCTGACTCATTTATCAAAGTTAAGCATACCATCAATACCCGAGGATAGGGTGCTCTGAAGATATAGGAAAAAGGAGAAGAATTGGGAAAGTAAAAATACGACCCCTTATGTTTTCCAAAAAATATGCTGAATAATTTGGGTAATCTCGTAATTGTGATAGAGGTTGGATACAACGTGCGCTATCATTGGTCGAAAGGGCGTGCTCTATCAGAGTTTGTAGTTCACCACTAATTTTTATCCGATTCTTATTGGTTTAAATTGATCACGTGACGCGATAGTGTCCATCCGTGGAGAGACAATATCAGCCCATAGTGCCCGTCCACGGAAAATACCCGGATGGATAGTGCTCATCCGTGAAAAATTTTGAATGGTTTGACGGCCACGAAGTTAGGAAGATCAGAAAAACAGTGACTTTTCAATTCTGACGGGCTCAACATCTTATTTAGCCAATGTACGGTTGCGAATTATTGACAACTGTGACTGGCTCTACGCATGAATGAATATTTGATTGATCTGCATTCAGTGGGTTTTGACTGTTTTTCAACTGGCGCGCGTAAGAAAATTTAGTGGTGAACAATAAAGACAATAGAGTGTTTTTGTCTCGGAACTACCGGTCTGACACTTGCTCCTTGGAAATTTGATGTTCTTAAAACTAGCAAATTTGCCCTCGAAGCTTCACCTCTCTGGAAAATATTTATTTTAATAACATCAAATTTCCGCGGGGCAACTACCAGCGGATAGTTCCTCGACAGAAACAGTCTATTGTTTAAATAGAGCATGGAGCTGATTTAAAGCTGTACACTATCTGCTTATCTGTGCTGTGTCTGGCGTTTGTTCGTTAATTAATTAAAAGTGAAATTTCGGAATAAACAAGCGGGCAGATGAACCAATCAAAGGTTTGTAGGCACGCCAAGCACCGTGATTTGTAATATTACAACGCGTGCAAGGACGAAAATCCTTAAAGAGAAAAGAGAATGGACAACTTGAGTTCCGAAGGGTTTCATGTTCAGTCAGATTATAAATGACAATAAAAATCGAACACAGCTAACACTTGCCTAATGGATATAGTTTCGTGTTTAAAACAAAACAGAAGAAAACAGTTTTGGTAAAATTAAGCTTGAAAATATATCTAAAATGGCAATACTATTAAAATTCATACCAATCATGTCGATTTTAGAGTGTCTGCGATCATGCTGAAGTGCATCGCGGCTAACTCATCATGATGATCTCCGGTCCTTGTAGTGAAGCAAGCCTCAGAAGTTACATCGGCCGCCCTTCGGGTGAACTTAACCATGAGTTCGCTCTAGTATCCTTTCCGATGCGTTGAGTGGAAGGCCACATCAGTCACAGCAGCCGAGTTTTACGGTGCTGTCATCCTGAGCAATCTTCGTGTTCCTGTCTTGACCTTCTTGTTATGCAAAGAAAACAAAACAAAACAGAAAAACAAGCGTGTTTTTATGAGCTCCGATTCGGCCAGATTTCACAAAACATTTCACGTTCAGAATCTCTGTTAGACCAAAAACTTCCATCAAAAGTGTTAATTTCGGCCCGTCCAACCATCATTTTTTTTTTTTTTGGAAACTAGTCCAGATCGTGAACAAACTTCGATGGTCTATGAACTTTGATGGTTTGACATTTTTGACAAGTTTAGTCTTGTTTAACCAATCAGATTACTTCAATACATAATAACTTGGATATATCAACAAAGTTGAAGT